AAGCCTGCCCGTAACCCGAAACCAATTGACCCGTAATCCGATCAACCCATAACTCGATGAACTCGTTATTCGATCCAACTCATAACCCGACCCATCTATAACCCAAATGATTCATAACCCATATAACCTGTAACCGAACCGAACCCATATAAAATAACCCGAATAACTCATTTGACCCGAATGCTTGTACAAAAATTCAATGTATACATTATTATATTTTTAAATTTATCAAGGAAGAACTGTTGTTCTCATAATAATTGAAAATTATTTGTTGAATTGATGAAATAAATTGAGGTTTTTTCTTAAATATTTAATTTTTACAATAATAATATGTGAAATATCTTTTCATTCATTTTTTATTTTATGAAATTCAAAGGATAAATTTTTTAAGATAATAGGAAGAGTTAGACACAAATTTGTATCTCCTCCACCATAACTATATTAAAAAAATTCAACCCTTGAAAATCAATGAAATCCCCAAAATCAATGACATCAATGATCCCTATCAAGATATATAAGTGGATAGTTTACCCTTTTTACTTCATTCTCAACTTTTTACTGACTTTATTTATTTTTTATAAATTAATAAATCGACGATTCGAACTAGATGATAATATCATATTTGAACGAACCGTTGTTCAACCCATGAGTTTTAGGATGAGATGTTACCGTGAATATATAAAAAATTGTGAAGATATATAAGTGGGTGATTCAGAATGATGTTCATAACTCTTCGTGGAAATAAAGAGACATACTTCTAGTTCATATTATATTTAATTAAGATTATTCATTTCGAGATGTATAAGCATATAGTCTACCTTTTTTACTTCATTCTCAAATTTTTACTAATTCAAATTTTTTTATAAATTAATAAAATAAGTGAAGTTACAATCTCTCGCCATAAACAAAAAAAATTATAACCAACAACAAAGCTTTTATATACACTATTTTATTTATATTTAGTTTTTATACTAACATAATGGATATTTAATTTTTATGTGTAAATATTATCATTTTCTTAAATTTTGTATCATTACCTACAATTTATATTCATATATTGATAGTTTGTAAAACATTATTTTCTGTCAAGAAGCAAATGATCCAATGGGTTGACCCGAATTAACCCGCAATCCAATAAACCCGTAATTTGATGCACCCGTAACCCGACCCGATCCGTAATCCAATTGACCAGTGACCTGAGTGACTCGTAACCCAATTGACCTACAACCCAATTAAACCCGATCCAAATTAAAACCGACCCGATTGAACTCGCAACCCGATTGAACCCAACCCGGTTGGACCTAATCCGAACCCGACCCAACCCTCCCAATTGACACCTCTAGGGAGAACCTCCATATAATACTTGTTTAGATATGCGATGTTATATATTGCTTTCGTATGTATGTGTGTACATTATGATATGTTGAAATGATAATTTACAATTAGAGAAAAAATATGCATATATAAATCATATCCGATCATGAATATCTCCATCGAAAAAAAAATATATATATATATTCCAAAACAAATCATGAATATCTCCATCGAAACTTGGATAATCTTTTTCAGGAGCAGATCCGGTGAGTAAATTTATGATGAGTAATCATGAGTTATCCGTCAACATCAGCATGATATCAGCATCTCGCTCCTGAAAATTCTTTTATCTTTTTCCCCTTTAATCTTTAACAGATGATTTATCTTTCGTTTTAAGTCAAAATTTAAATTTTTTTGCGCAGATAAATCAGATTAAATGTGCTCTTCAAAATTATATCCACTTTGATATATTTTTAAAAAAAAAAAATTAAGCCATTTTTTACCAGTCTATACCATATGGTATTGACTGGTATTGAAATAAGAGCGTACCTATGGATTGAAAAGCGTACCATGGTGGTATGAGCAAACCAAGACAGTAGGATGGTTGAATACATGATAGTAGAAGTATATTAACTGTCATTTACGACTTTTAACATTGTTTACCACAAGATACCACCTCGTTCCTTCTGTGCAAACGTTTTCAAAAACGAATTAAAAACGAAGAAGATATCATGTGGTATGCAGTTGGTAACGAGAGGCAAGAAATTTTTTTTTCTAAAAAAATATTGAAAATGGATCTCGTTTTGTAGAGCACAACAAACTCGTTCCATCTGTGCAAAAAAATTAAAATTCGAGTTAAAACGAAAAATATATGAGTCGATTAAGAAAACTAAAAAAAATAAAAATGATATTTAATTTTCTATTATTAGATCTGGATTTTCTAAATAAAGATTCCAGATTTAGTTATGCAACTATATTGAGCTATCTTTTTCTATTTTGGGAGAGAGTGTTGACTTTGCGGAGATGTTTCATATATTATCCGCAAACTGTCGGCCTGACCATTTCCCTATCGCCAGCTCCAGCCTCGGCTCTTGCCCTCGTGGTGCATGTGTTCTATAATTTAGAGTCAACTAGAAGATTACGTAACTAGATATGGGAAACTCAGGCTTCCAACTCACAAAATATACGTTATATGTATCCAACATGAACAAGAGATGCTAGTTTAGGCTGAGTGGATTGTGTGTTGGATTGTTTCCTTTTATAATCGAGGGATCTCTAATCCCAGTGACATAGCTTGCTTGTTCAAAATATTTTCTGAATTTCAGTTCTTAGTTACACTTGTTTCATTATTTTGCCTAATTGCCTTAATTAACTACATTTTGATAGCAAGAAAATGTGTAATCTATTCCATAAATTATAGTCTAGTTACACTTCTTCATTGTACATTTTGTTGAAATGATAATTTGCAATTAGAAATAACAGGTGTTGAATGAATAGAAATGATAGACGCCTCACGTCCAAAAGGAATATAGTAATTAATTGATCAAATTTTTTATTTTTATTCTCAATTGATCAGATTAATTACATATCATTTAGCATAAATGAATTCAATAAGTTTTGTACTCAGATGACCATTCAAGACTTACACACTTTGTACCATTTACTATTAGTCCTTGATGTCAAATTTTCCAAACCCTAAAAACAAATTGCAAGAAATGGAAAACAACAAAGGCTCAACTAGGAAAATTCTTTTGAGAGTTGGCTACAACAATCAGTAAGATGAGCTGATGTGTATTTGGCTAAACAAGGTGTAAAATATTTTCACAACTTTTCTAGTGTACAAAAAAATTATCGAAATATATCGATTGCATAAATTTTATTAACCCCCGAATTACAATTTTGGATTTCTTGAACTAGAAAATTATGGTTTAGTTGAAGTCTTGAAGATAAGACTTTTTTATGCGGAGAAATCTTGGCACAAATTCCCCACTTCGTAAATACCCGTTAAATTCACGTGAAGAGGTATGGAGATGTATAAATTTTAATGTCGAGTTATATCGAAAAATAAAAGTGAGTTGGGCATGTACATAGGCGATGGGTCGATGTCATACTTATGTCGATATGACTCTGACCTGTCTCGAGCACATTTTTACTTGTGTTATGCTCATATTCTTATTTAATAAAAGAGAAGAAAATAAAAGTAGGAATGAAAAAGAAAGAGACAAAAACTGGACAGGTAAAGAATAAAACTTGAAGTACAACGGGAATGATAGTTTTTTTATAATTCTTTTCGTGCATTTTTATTTATGATAGTATTTATTTTATTTAATATTTTGTTGAGCACTTCTAGAAATAATAATTGGCTTATTTATGTAGCTATATTTTGTATTCTTTTGAACAAATAATTTTTCTATATTAATTTTCTGTAAAGAAGCATCGAGCTTGTACCATGTCACGCCTCTATCTACTAAGATCCCAAAAACATTAAATTTGGCACGAGCTGTTTACAGATCATATTGTGGGCAACTGGGCATACTCATCCTCGTTATTAGAGCCGGCAATTAAGATCCAAATTCATCAATACAATCCAATCCATCCATTAAATTATCCATCTAATTCAATTCATTTAAATCCAATTGGATTGGTGAATTAATGGATCAATCGATGGATCCAAATGGAAAAGTATAATTTGGTACCTATATTTTTTATATTTTTATTTTGGTACTTAAAATTTATATTTTTACACGGAAAATATCATCGGAAAATTATATTTTGGTACCTAAATTTTTTCATTACGGCATTTTAGTACCTAAATTTTTCAAAATTTACATTTTGGTCAAAACTTTGGATGTTATTTGGATTGATGGATCAATCCACCAATCCATTTGATCCAATCCATGAATCCACCAATCCAATCCATTTACCACCTCTACTCGTTATCATCAATCCAAATCCGATACGACCCATAATATATGTGTATACTGTTAGAGAGTGCTATAAGATCCAGGATAACCTTCTCCCAATAACTCACTGGTTCTTGACATGGTATCAGAGCTGGTTTGGAGTGGACGTGTGTTCGAATCTCCACGACCTCCAATATAACACTTGCTTAAAGCACAAGGTATGTTGGGTCTGTGCAAACTTCAAGCCCGTGGATTGACTTTCATTTGAGGGGGCATGTTAGAGAGTGCTATAAGATCCAGCATAACCTTCTCCCAACAAGTAACAATTTGTTTTTTTACAAGTTACGTGATCGGTTTTATAATGCAATGCTGACAGTTGGAAATGGATTCTGGATCCGTTTGGCTGAAGAAATGGAAAAATATTGAATGCTATTATGTCACAACTCATGTGCAGAGAGAGATAATCTGAATCATGGTTGTCAAACCAGTTTCATGCCGGCCGGTTCAACCGGTACCGGTCAGCAAACCGGCTGGAAAGGGGCCGGTATTTAACTGTGGTCAAATACGGTCAATACCGGTCAGACCCGGTTAAATCCGGAAATTCCGACCGGTTAGACCAGAAATCGGAATTTAGTGGTACACACATTATATCCAAAAATAAACATCCTCCATAGGATTTGAACCAAGTACCTCATGTTCACACATCAGTAGGCTACAAGCAATTTTATTGTCTATATTAACCTTATATGTTATATATCTAATACTAAATTTTACACAAATCATTATAAACATTAATAAAATTCATTTAATAAAATTTTGTTTTTAAGCATCTAATTGTTTAGTATTAGTTATCAATTCTTGGCTATAAATTATTTTGTGTGAAATAATTCTTCTAATTGCTTTTTCATGATTAATTTATTTGGAATTGAGGATTTCCATTTTCGTCATGTATTTTATTAAAACCGGCACAACCGGCATGAATACTGGTTGTACCACGGTCAGACCATTCACTAACAAAACCGGCACACCGGCATAAACCGGTTTGACAACCTTGATCTGAATCAAACGGAGCAGCTCATCACCTGCAAGTGGGAGCACCAATATCAATTCGTAGGACCACGTAACCTCTTGCCCAACCACAAACTTCTCCGATCCATTCTCACAATTCAATTCCTTCCACGACTTCTCTTTCTCGCCACCCATATTTTCCCACCCTTTCCATCCAAATTGCCAAACACCATTTTCAAGCAACCACTCCACCACCAGCTTCCTTCTCTTCCTTCCCATGTCTAGCTTACAACACCACAAGTTCCTCTCAAGGTCCTCCCCCGGCCATGGCTTCCACCACCACCGTGTAATTCCGATTCGATATGCCACCTCCATCACCACAATCACCTGCACCTTGATCAAGGACAATCCCAACTCCAACCAGTTAGTCTCCCAACCACAGTGTGTCAGCAGAGCTCCACCGGTAATCCCTCTCACCGCCAACGACCCCGGTTTGAAGTCGACATGGTCCCACCGTGGATGGGTTGCAACAGGATGTGCCACCGTGCTCTTCTCCCTCGCCAAGGCTGCCGTCGGTGCAGCCAGCGTGCACATTTGGCTCGAGCCGGTGCTCGCAGGGTACATGGGTTACATCCTGGCTGATCTCGGCTCAGGAGTGTACCATTGGGGCATTGACAACTATGGCGATGCATTGACGCCCGGGTTCGGTTCTCAAATCGAAGCATTTCAAGGTCACCACAAGTGGCCATGGACGATTACCAGGCGCGAATTCGCCAACAACCTGCACTCCCTGGCTCGTGTCGTGGCGTTCTCGGTGCTTCCAGTGGAGCTGGTGTGCAGTGACCCTGTTGTGCTTGGCTTTGTGGGGATGTTCTCCGGGTGCATTATGTTCAGCCAGCAGTTTCACGCTTGGGCTCATAGTACGAAAAGCAAGCTGCCGGCAGCGGTGGTGGCATTGCAGGATGCTGGAGTTCTAGTGTCGAGGGGGCAGCACGCTGATCACCACCGGCCGCCATACAACAACAACTACTGCATAGTGAGTGGGATATGGAATGACTTGCTGGACAGGAATAAGGTGTTCGAGGTGTTGGAGATGGTGGTTTACTTCAAGCTAGGGGTAAAACCTAGGTCCTGGAGTGACCCCAACTCTGCCTGGACAGGAGACGAGGATGCCGAGATCACAATCTGAAGTTGAATTGCTCTTTCTGGTAGTTGCATAGCTATACTGAATTACTATAGTCTACATTGTAATTCTTCTGGTTCTTGTATTCGCATTATTCGTGATGTTGAAATTGTTTGTACAACATTGTGCATCCAAGCATGGACTAGAAAGATGAAACAAAAGTGAAATTGATCAGCCAAACAGACCATTGTTTCTTTTTTCTTGTTTGAGGCAAACATAAAGTGTCAAAATGTCAGTCCCCAACTGCAGAGGAGATGGAGGAGACACAGGGGAACCAGTATCTTCGCTTGCCATCCCGGTGGCCATCATCTATCATGGCGAGCCCTTCCTGCGTCATTCAATAGGAATCGTAAGATACCAACTCTATTTAGTTCTAGAAGAACAAACGAAACGAGTGAGGCAAATAGCAGCAGGAGCTTCACCTCTAATAGTGTATCCAAGGCATCTATGGCTCTCCCGGTTGTCCAAGATAGCCGCCTTTCCACCTCATCAACAGTTACAAAGCCTTGAGCCTAAAGGGGATGATGTAGACGAGTGTGTAAATTATGAGTCCTGATGAAAATGGTGGCAGTATTAGGAGGCAGGGGAATAGGAGAGGAAACCTGAGCCAACTCCAAGATTGCATTATGGTCTTTGTTCAGTTCTGTTGGCACAGACCGAACTAACTTCTTCTTGCCAACGGATATAACCTCGAAACCACTTCCCATTACCTGACATATTCAAGCAGTTTTTAGTTTTTACTAATAAGCAAATTAGGCAACAAAGAAGCAATGCCAGGGACATTAATCACTTAGGAAAATTTCACCGAGAAGGGTTGTTGGGAACAAAATAAGGGTAAGTTCTGATTACTAGATACAGACCTTAAGTTTACTTATAGCACGCAAGCAGTCATCCTCAGTCACAGCTCCGCGATCACCTTTCCTCCTCTGGCGAAGTAGATCGCAGAGCTCTTGCAGGTTTATCAGACCTCCATTATGAGGTCTCGTGTTTAAACATATCTCAACAATTTGTACCCCTGCCTTAGCAAAATAGTACAACCAGTATCAGATTCTCCGTACTTCTGGGTTCTCAACCGTATAAAACAAGAATCTTATAACAGAGACTCTTATCCACGCACTCTTTCTCTCTTGCTCTTCCAATCCATACACTATTTTACATAAATAACCAATAAGTTCAAGACTCACCAAGTTCATAATAGAAGTCACCAATTCCTAGCAGCTCTGCCCAGAATCCCTTATTAGAGGCCAAAGGATCCACTCCTACTTTAGCACACATCTCATGGAATTGCGCCCTAAATGTTGGATTCTTGCGAATGTCATTCTGCAATACATCATGCCAGATTATGAGCTGCAACATTATTTGTGATTGAGAAAAATGATGAGTGAAATGAAGGAGAAGAATGAGAGCATTAAGAATGACGTGTCAGTAAGGCCATTAAACAGGTCTGGAGCTGGTTGGTTCACTACTGCATCAAGGGAGACTTGGGCTCTTTAGCTGAATGAAACGGAAATGAAAAACAAGCTCACTAGGGCTCACACAAACGACGAAAACAATATATTCTGATTATGGCTTGGGTATGTTAAGCTAAGAAGCACTAATATGAATGAACGATTCTGAAGATGAGGATAATGACAGGAATTCAGCTGAGGTAAATCTTCCCAAGAAGCAACAACTCTATCTCAAGAGGACCCGGAGAAGAGATGAATGATTCTTCACACCGGAACTTAGTATCTAGCAGAAGATGAAATTTGATTGAACTGTGATCTTCAAATAAGGGTAAAGAAATATGAAGTGGATGATCGCAGTGAGAAACATCACTTTCCACACCAGGACCAAGCAAATTTCTAACATGCTAGCAGAAGAACTCAGTCACTAAGTCGGATTAAAACAATATGATTTGTACAAAGCGAAAGCTTCCAGTCTTCCACAACCAAGCATAAAAGTTCAACAATAACCCTCAATCACACACCCTACGGCCACCCACGATTACAGATCAGTAATCTAACACAGAAAAATCAAAGCTTTAACAATTGCTGATTGCCCAGAATCCAAATTCGACACCTTTGCCACAAAATGCACCAAGATTGAGGAGGGCAGATTCCTTACCTTGTGTTTGCGGGCAAAATCTTCCAACTGAGAACGGAAAGTGGCGAGCTGCTCTTTCATAAGGTCGGTTCTTAGCTTGGCTACATTTTCACCCAGTAGCCGGTATTGATCCTTCGAATTGGGGGAAAGAAAAATCGAAACATAGACATGACAAAGAACGATTATATACTGGGCACTAAGCAAAATGAAAACAGAAAATCAATCCTTGGGTATCAAACAAAGAGGAATGAACCCTAGCAGTGGCTGCCGTTTGTAGGCCGCCAATTCCTGGTCGCCGTCTCATTTTCGTTCTCTTGCCAAAAGCTTTCCTCGTAGCTGGGAAATTGGTTCGCCGGTTCGTGTTCTCATAAGCTGTTACAGACAAGTAAACTAATATATATAAACATTGGCTAATATTTATCATATTATCAGAGTGGCGCAGCGGAAGCGTGGTGGGCCCATAACCCACAGGTCCCTGGATCGAAACCAGGCTCTGATAGATTGATTTTTTTTTTATTTCGTCCATCTCTATAAGTTTTTTCAGTTTGCAGCCCAAACTTTTCGGTAATTTATATTTGGTACCCTAAAGTTTCACATCGTTTTTCCATGTTTTAGCACCAACTTCTTTGCAATTCCTATTTCCTCCCCAAAAGTTCCACATTCACACTCTGGAAAATAAACAAGGGGCCAGGCCAGCTATTTTATCTAATAAAGGATTAGTCAATCCCAAATAAAACCGTTTCTTGATGAAGAATCTCATGAGAAACAACACAAAGTTCGGCTACTTTTAACATGGAAACTTCTGCGTTTACAATATATCTGCTGAAATTCTACCTGTGATGACTACAGATCAAAAGCAGCAACATCCTCGGAGGTTCTCGAACGTTAAAACACTAAGCTTCCCGCACTTGATGTTGATGATGAACAACACAACTTTTCTCTTCCGACCCAAAAATAAGGTGTGCTGTATAGTTAGGTAATGGTGAGTTGACTATAATACTCTATGCTGATACCCCAGTAGCTTCTTTCGGTATTAGGAACAGGAAAAGGACAGGAATGTAGATGCAGGCAACTTGGATCGCTATGCCCAGAAGGAGATTGTCAAAAGATCCTGATGAGAGGTTGAGGAAGGAAGCCAATCCAGCACCAACAAACGACCCAACTGTGGAACCAAAGTTGTTGATAGACATGAAGAGGGCAAATAGAGTTCCTTCAATGCCTGGTGGGCACAACTGTCCCGATAAAATGAGGAATGGCATGAACCTACACAGGGAAGAAAGCCAGTTTGAAATAGAGACAATAATAACAAGGGCAGAGAAGAGAAACAAAACTTGGAGCAGTAATAGTAAGTGGCGTACTTGAACTGATTAATTGCATCAGCAAGAGCAGATCCAACGAGGACCATATGCTTATCCGTTATCCCATAGGCAAGATTCATTCGGGAGACAAGAACAATGTCCAGGAGACTCAACAAGGACAACCCGATATGTGTGTATCTGCATTATGCATTCAGGAAAAGGAGAAAGAAAACAGCTCTTTAGCAGTTCAGAAAGAATGAACACGTTTGATAAAAAAAACAAGTATTAATGTGGTGCTGCTTACAGTAGAATCGTTCTTAGTTTCATGGTCTTTAAGTGTCGATTGTAAACGAAAGTCCCAAGCATGAGGCCTAACCAGCCAATGACACGAGTAGTCCCCAAGAAAGCTGCGTCCAAGTTCAGGAACTCTGTCTGGTAATAGAACATGACTGTTGAGAGGTTGGGGAAAGTGATGTGTGCCAGAAAGAACCATGCCATCGGTCTGAATTACAATAATCAAAAACTAAAATGATTAGAATAATAATAATATTGTATCTTTTAAGAGAAGGAGAGAGTGAAGTTTGGAATTACCAAGCATGAAGGACTATATAATTAATTACCTTAGTATGATCGGCTTCCTGAAAGCTTGTAACAAGCTGTAAGTAGCTGATTTCAACGAGTAGTACCAACTTAATCTTCCAGCATTCTCTTTCTCAACGAACTGCGATTTGTTGCTAAATCTCTTCTTTTTGCCCCTTTTTTTGCTTTTCTTCCTTTTGGAGATAGTTGAGCTGGACTTCCTCGTAGAGTAACTGTCCTCGTCAGAAGGACTATTTCCGTTCATATCATGGGAATCACCTAAATCTTCAGATGTAGGAACATCCCCACTGCTTACAGGAGTCTCCTCAACCAAAACACAGGAGAAAAGCTGTATTGCGGGGAGTACAGTGAAAAGAAGGAAAATTTTGTCGATTGGTAAGTTCGATAATGCATATCCTCCCAATAGACTTCCACATATACCACCCAGAGCCATTGAAAACCAAGAAAGTGACTGCAGATCTCCTGCAAACGAGGCCCTGCTCAGTTAAAAAATAATTAAGATCATGTTAGTACAAGAAATAAAAAGACAAAGCATAACCACTTAAAACGCATCAAGGTCTTTCTTGAAGCAAGTATAGGGAATGATGCTTTATTTCTATGTTAACAGATTCATACACTAAATCACTGGTAGTATAAGAAACAGACAACTTGTACTAGCTGCAAACCTTCAGAACTGGAAGGTCCATTGCAAATACATACACATTAACGATTTGAATTCTCTATGGATAAAGAGATATAGACAAGTCATATTCACATACTTCTCAGAACGCACAGCCTCAGCAATCATTGCATCAACCACAACATCTGCCATAGCAGTACCCAGGTTTTGTGCTGTCAACAAGACCATGAGATGCCAGCTTGAGTTCCTGAAAGTTGCATTCAGGCCTAATATCGGCCATGGCACCAGAGAGAGGATGGTGGCAATTATGAGGTACGGTATCCTCTTTCTTCCTCTAATGGAGATGCAATCAGATACTATTCTGCAATAGAGATGTCATTAAAACCCTGAAGTAAGTCTAAGATTGTAGATAATGTGAAAAGTTTATATTCCTTGATTCTGTAATTTAACTGGAAACAACCACACATGCAAACTAAAGGTTTAATGTTCTCAGTTGATTAAGTCGGCAAATATATGAAGGAAACCATCCGCCCACCTGGGTTATGTCAAGAGATAGAAATCAATTTGAGCCCCGATCATTCATAAGTTTCGCACAAACATCAGATTTCTGAACTCAGAGTACATAACAGTAGATGCTTATATATAAACTGTAAAACCAGTACATAAGCACAACAACTGCAAAAAGTGACACATCGGCCACATTTATAGCTACTCTTATTTTCTTTCTTTTAAGATGGGCCTGGTTGTTGTGTGGGTACTTGCTTTTAGCATTACCGCACATCAAGAGCTGAGGCTACATTCTCTATCACGGATCCACATGAAATAGAGCAAAGAACAGTACCCATATAGCGGTTTAATGCTCCATGGGAAAAATGCTACTGAAGACACAAACTGGGAGGCTGATGGTGACAGTTTAAGCTTGTCTTTCAGCTGGTAGGAAACTGCTGTCCATACAAATGATCTGAAACCCTGCATTCAACAGTTTAACAGAGCAAGTATGTTATATGAATCATATTATGAACTCAAATTTGGGGCGAAAATAGATAAGTTGAAAGAAGCATAAGAAGCAAAAAAATCAAATGCCATATCCAGAGTAAAAAACCAGTTATCACATAGGAGTCCCTCCTGCCCCTTCAATTCACAAAGATCTACCACCAATTCACTAGAATCAGGCTAACTAAGGAAAGTGGTAGAGAGAACTCCACGATTTACTTGGATATTATACTTAACGAAGAAAATGTTTCGCATATCGGCAGCAGGAGCAAAAGTCATATGTTGTCGACATGAACTACATAGCTGGGACACTGGTAGGTGATCATACTAGCCACTAGCTTTATAAAGAAGGGTTTATCCCAGAAATTTAAACTTCAGGTATAATATGAAAACGGCAATGAGATGAGATGATTATAGACGGTGTTACTCCGTAGTAGATAACCAAGGATGGTTCAACATTACTCCATATTCTCACCAACAAGCCCCATCCCCTTCCTACCTTCCTCTCCGAATTCCTAGGGGCATTTCCACAAGCTACAAGAGTGCAGAAGAAATGACAGCGCTCTGACAGAAATTAATCCCAAAGATGAGCAGTACATTGTTCCAAACCAAACAAACCGGAACGCATAACTATTTAGACCCAAAAATCACTAACATGGTCATATCATCTAACAATTCTCAAGAATCTAAACTCAACACGAAAGCCACACCATGGGAAAGGACGAAGAAGAGAGCAAAAACCTGAGTGAAGTAAATCAAGCAAACGAGCCATAGAAATGAGGCCCCGAACGACCTCTTCAGCTGCTTCGCCCAGGCTTTCATTTTCTCCGAGGGGCGAGAGAGGGAAGAAATCAAAGACGAAAACTCAACTTGTTCTTCTTCTAAGCTGCGGAAACCTCCATTTTTGGGACGCCTGGAATCGAATCGGAGAATCGCCGATCCTCTTTTCTTCCACCCCGAAACTCCCTCCCTATTTCCTTCAACGGTTTTCTTCCTGTTTGTGGGGAATTGACGATAATGCCCTAAGAAGGAATGTATAAATCGGCGCGATAGCCAGGGTGGTACTGTAATCTCAAAGGATTCGGTTGATGGCCGTACATTACTTGCACTGAACACGTCCTCTTCGCCAATGGGATCTCGCCAACTCAGCACTCAGGGCCCACGTTAAGCATTTTTTTGAAGGCATAAAGGGTTAAAAGGTTTCGCTTTCGGAATAAGGAGGATGTGAAGTGACATACTATTGAAATTCAGGGGGTCTTCTGCTATTTTTCCGAAATATCAGATGCTTCAAATGAAAGAAGAACGCGTGAGTAGAGTGGCAAACTGGCGATCCCATTCCCGTTTCCCACCGACGACGCTGTCAAAAGGGGCAAAAGACAATTTCCAAGTGAAGCTGAGGAAACACCGTGGGGAGCAGCCATGGTGTCACCAACGTCGCAGCAGCAGCAGATTATGATGCCGAGGAAGCTTCTAATGGCGGCGGCTGTACTTCTAATGGCGGCGGCTTCCGTTCCCGGCGTCGGTGCTTGGACTGGCGAAATCCGTGGAAGAGTTGTTTGTGATGTGTGTGGGGATTCCTCCATTGGGCCAGAGGATCACGTCTTGGAAGGTCTGTAGCTCCCTTTCTTGCTTCGATTCAGGTGGTTCTCGTGGTTAACGTTGATTCCTGTGGGACTTTGGATGGAATTAGCACCTTCTATGCTTCAATTTGGGGAGTTCGGTTTTGCCAATTTCCTTATGTCCCTGTACTGTATTAGAATATCTGACCAAGTTGGTTTTCAACTATATCTGGGTTCTTGAAAGAGTTGCCTGCTGATGCTACAGAATGAACACTGATTAGTCGTTTGATGTAATAATTGCTTTCCATCTGTGGTTCCTAAGCTTGGTGTCTAATGAGCTGTTTAGCTGTGTCTTCGAAACAAGAGCTGTAATTGTTTCACAAATGTGTGTTAGAATATTTGATTCTAGTCTTTGGTTAGTCTTTTAAAGTGAGAAAGAGGGGTGCTGTAGTTTGAGTTCAGAGTTCTTTTGCAAATAGCCTCAAGATGGGTTCTAAACCTTTCAGAACAAGGTTGCAGTGCGTTCATTTTCTACATTGAAATGTTACAAAAACAATGAGATTTGAAAGGGTGATGTATTCTACTCTCACCTTTAACTTGTGGGGTTTTCTTGGCAACATTTAGATACACTAGCATATCTGGATGCAGAGAAGCCATTGTGGTTTATGTACCCGCAGTCTTCTTGTTGTACATGATTGATTCTATGGAGTAAAGTGGTTGCCTTTATCTTCCTCTCTTGACCAGCCCTTTCAAACCGTCCTCTTGTCTAATGTTTAGGCTTTTTGTTCTAGAGATATTGAGCCTCTTCTTTGTGGATTTGCAATCAATTGAGATGCTTTCGCATACTCTCCAAACCGAAGTCTCTTGCAGCACGTCATGTGAAAAGGCAGAATGTTAGATTATTCATTCTTTCGGCTGTTTTAAAACCCTTTGCTAGCTACTTGTCAGTCATTTGGCCGAAAGAAAGAACAGGTTTTGGCCGGCACTTGAAGAGAACTATATAGAGTTAGTTGGTTGTGTCTTCTTCACTGCGATTCGTTCACACTTGGGAGATGCAGCTGCTGATCTTTGAACCTTGTTTAAAAAACTGCAGGTGCTGAAGTAGCTGTTCTGTGCATAACCAAGTCAGGGGAAGTAGTAAACTATCAAGCATTTACAAATGCCAAAGGGATGTACACGGTTGCAGAAACCATGTCCGAAAGCGACCGTTGGGATGCATGCTTGGCAAGACCTATAAGCAGCTTTCACGACCACTGCAACCAACTGGGGCCTTCTAGCAGAGGACTGAAGTTCAGTTACAACAAGCCATCCGGATATTCTCACAGCGTTAGACCATTTGTGTATCGGCCTTCTAACGCTCCAACATACTGCTTGTAGATGATACCCCAACATCATAACTTATTATCACCAGAAGCTAAATTATTTGGAAGTTTTACATCTTAATCTCTGCTATCTAGTAGATGTACTTAAGTTTACTCTGATCTAATTTGGATTGTGGTGTTATAAGCTGGCACCAGTCTTGTTGTGGTACTGGTGGTTGGTGGATGGCGCGGGCGGAGCGGAGCGGGTTTCTCAATATTCATATTCGCTTTGTACCAGCTGTTGGTCAGATCGGATAATTCTCACGTTGCTAATGGGTTAGAATGGAGCAAGTTGACTAGTTGTCACATTATGTGAAGAAAGAAAAATACTTAATGGGTTTGAATGAATAATTGATTCAAAATAATTGACAGCTTAAATTTCGTACAGAAATGCAAATATATTAAGATTATACATATCAAGAATGAGACAAATCCGGAAGTAGTAATCCATGTAGTCCCCTTCTAACTATTGCGAATTGAATAATAGTCGCCTCAATATGAATCATGTTGAATGATACCCCAAATTGCCATCCCTACCCCGGACTTGTCTCATTCTGGGAGCCCTATCCCTGCGGAGAGCTTGGACGGTCAACACAACATTGCGGGCTTGAGGCCTGGTCGTCTATAAGATAAACTAGTGTGGGCCCCGGCTAGTTGGCCGGAGGAAGGTAGGATGGCAATGGGTCGGGTTGGGTCGGGTATGGCCAAATTCAAATCCAAATTCATGGGTTTATCCGTGAAAAAAATTCGGGGTAAAATTCACTGGGTTTGAAAAACTCAAACCCAACTCAACCCCCTGGGTATCCGCGGGTTCATGGGTACCCACAGGTTTTTGTCTTAAAAAATTTACAATAACAAGTTCCTATCAAAATTAAAGTCAAATATCAATCTCTCAATACAAATTATCCATATATAAAATACCATTCTAGAAAATTCAAGCAAATAACAAATTATCCATAAATAACATGATTAATTGAAAGCTTCTTCCTTTCAATTAAGTTTCTTCACTCTCCACTCGATAGCATCAACTTCATTCTACACAATTAGAAAGAAAAAATTAGACATGTCTCCACAAACATAAATAAGATAAGTTGTTTAGAATATTAAATATATCGAGAAAATTAATTATATGGGTGTGGGCGGGTACCCATGGGTCTGGTTTACCTAAACCCAAACCCAACCCAACCCGATGAATATTGAACGGGTTTAAACCCAAACCCGGCCCAAAACCCGTCAACACGGATTTTACCCGCGTTGACCGGGTTGGGTCGGGTGGGTACCCGTGGGTTCGGGTTTTGTTGTCATCCCTAGAGGAAGGTGAGGTATGAAATTTGATAATATAATGGGGTGTATAACTTATTGTTGTAAAGTTTTTTTGGGAAACACGTGATAAAAATAGTGAATTTTAGCAGGAAAGAGACATTAATGATGCAACAAATCAAAAATCGGCCTTATGAACCAAAATCAAGTACCTGTTACCTTGTGAAACAATATTGTTTTTGGTAATATGATGAGGTGGAGTAAGTTTTATAGAAACTGAATTCCAGAAAATCGAATAAAAAATCGCCTATCCCGTCGGTTTTCGGAAAATGAGCATCTCACAATCGTTGCTAGCTTTTACTCGGCCCGTTGGCCGATTAATTTGGTTTATAAAACTTTCATCTTGTCGTCATTGTGCTTTCTGGTTTTTTTCAGGCCATGATAAAATCTAAGGAAATCAAGAACGAACAACACGATTTGGGATAGGAACCGTCGTTGTCGTATCCCTAGAAAATGGTGGTAAACACGGATTCACCTGCCAAACTGGTTTGGATTGAGATTTTTATCGGGTATCAGGGAACCATGTGATTATAAATTAGACTCGATCAAAAGGGGCCAAAACTTGAAATGCAGCCTGTCTGACCGACCCATGCCAAATTCTAATTATTCTTTACTTTTAAACTTTTTATTTGAAAATAAAAAATAGTGAAATAAAAGAGATGACTGCCATTTGCACATCACTTATTCGGGAATAAAACCATAGAAATTCAAAAGGAACTGAAAATGTTAGGATCGTTTTAATGTTTAAAATAACCAAATAGATCTTTCTGTTTAGTTTTTTACTAACAAATACCAAACGATTCCCTATAAAATACACTATGATTTGATCATTATGATATCAAATAATTATATAATATATATTTGAAATGATAAAAATTGGACTAATTGGGTTGGTCGAGGTTGAACCATTGAATAACTTCAAAATACATTATATTTTAGCCACTAAGATATAAAATAATAGCATAATATATTATGCCAGAGAAAATAGCTTGTTTTAGAATGTCAAACCAATGATGTTCATTTGTTTTACTTGATGGCCAAATCCCGTGTAGGTCAAACCAATTCAACTCTTTTATTTTATGGTTAGCGGCAGTGGCGGACCCAGAAATTTTACATAGGGGTGTCCTCTTTTAAAAAATAAATTAAATATAAATAATTCTAAAATAATTAATAAAAAATAAATAATATTTAAATAAGAAATACTTTACTCATACAGTTTGAAAAAATTCACAATGTGTTTTCATATTAAAAAATGATTGTAGAACACACTTGGGGGTACACTATTAAAAAAAAATTGTCTCTGTATATCATATTAGACAATCATTCACGAACTGATCACATATTCAATTTCTAAACTTGTTCTTGATGTAATCCAAAGCTGAAAAAACTCTTTCAATACTTGTTGTACAACCATAAATCAATACAAATTAAGGGTAGCTTGAAATTTGTTTAATTGTTAGATTTTGAAAACAATTAGAGATAGAGAATGACATTATACTATTACACAGTGTTTAAAATCGAATAACATATGAGTTGTAGCCTAATGAAAATTAGGTTTATTAATAATAAAAGTGTCCTATGTTTGAATTACCCAAACTACTACTTATATTCTTATACTCAAACTAAAAGATGAGAGTAGGATAATCACTTTTTTAAATTTAGGGGTGTCCCCGACTATCAATTATAATTTTTTTGTCAATACGTAAATTACTACCGGGGGTTGGATAATCGCTTTCCCAAAATTTAGGGGTGTCCGGGGACACCCCTAAACACCCGTCGGTCCGCCCCTGGTTAGCGGTTAGCCCATTAGATACCATGCATTAGTTTATTGTTAATTTTTTTTTATTTTTAGCAATAAAAAGAAGTATTGTTTTTGCCTCTTCATATATATTTTATCACCACGGAGAAATAAAAGGGCTTAATGAAAAAATTGACACTCTTGAACCCGTTTAAATCCGCATGTGTACGGTAAGTTGGCCCGTTCCACAGAGGAAAGAGGAAAAAATTGACACTCCCTATTCTATCATTCCTACAAACGCTCCTAGAGCAGGAAATTTGAAATGGGGGAATGGTTTTTTCCTCTCTGCTATTATATCTTTTTAATTTAAAAAGATGCTACAAATGTACTTAGTGTGATTGGTTATGATCCTTACTTTTCCTTAAAATGGTGATGGTTCGAATCCCACTACGTGTCTTTTTAATAAAATAAAAAAAGTAAGTGTGAAGACCAAAATGTCCTTCCTACTTTCACTCTCGTTGCAGGAAATTTGAAATGGGGCTCCCGTTTTTCCCTTTGGTGTATTATATTATGTGTAGATTAGAGTTGGGCTTGGGCCTGGGCTTGGGCATTTTCTGAACTCAAACGGGACCCGATTCACTTACATCATGTAAGAACGCATAACGAGCTGTCGTTTTGCTCAACTTGGACTGGACCTCAAGTATTTCCTAGTTTCTCTAGTTTCTTTCTACTCTCCTCAGTCCTTTCCCTTCGTCTGCGGTCTGCCACGAACTAGGGCTTCCATTCCGAAATCAGTTGCAGCGTTCGAAGCTTAGGGTGAGATTTCAGCGCCGGAAGTTAGGACCTTAGCTCGCTTTACTCCAATCGCCGGCGCCGAATCCCTACCGTAAGTGGCTGCTATTCTAATTTTCATTTGCTGTGAACTTCCCTCCGTTTGCTTTTCCGTTCTTGTTTCCTGTAGGAGCCACGATTGCTGTATAGCTGTGATCGAAGTTCGCCTTTTTGCCTAGACGGAAGTGAATTCCTCGGTTTAAATCGTTAGTTTCTCGTTTTCTTGGACCATAAGCCTATATCTAGTCTCACCTTAGAGAAATTACTTTCTTTTCTCTTTGGATGAATATTGAATACAATTCGAATTTGAGAAAATAGGGGTTGGTGGGTGTTGTTTGATGAACTAGGTTGGAGGATGGGAGGTATTTAGCTCGGCCTCGCAAGTATGATGTGCTTTTGGCACGCAATACCCTATTGACCACTGCATTTGGGTCCTCCATCTTACATTTCTTTTCATTCCTGTTGAATGTAAGCTAGCGATATGATCATTCACAAAGGTTTGTAGTTTGTGTCCCTTTTGATCTCCCCTTATAGTCCCCTGCTCAGCCACGCTAATTACCGTATGTTTTGATTGATGAGTTGAGGTACTTACTTATATGATGAGTTCTAAGTTAAGACTCTATTTCCTTGATTCTAGCCTATAGCTGCGTCAGTATTCCTATACGAACACTCTACATGCTCTGCTACTTTCTGGAATAGGTTCGCTGTATTTATGTAAGATATTTTGTGTTGTACAAATCTGTCGAGATTGTTGGTTGCGAGTTCAGCATTGTTTGATGCTATGGAATCGGCCAATAGGTCATGGTTCGAGGGAGGATGGGGATAAGTTAACTTATACTCTTTTGATGACAATGGATTGTGATAAAATTGTCACCACTTGTGGAACATCGTTAAGCTGCTCTTTAGAATCAAACATTGTCTGCACTTGTCCTTGTTTAAATACTTGTTCAAAGTAGAACGTTTGAGTTCAGTAAATAATACTATTTGTCCAACAAAAATAATTTTCCTTATTTGTACATTATGTTTCTCATAGTCGTGGGCCATTGTTTTCGGTGTGATGAGTAACCACACGAGTTTATGATTTCAGCTACTAGAATTCTTAAAATCCTCAGCCACAGGCTTTTGATTTCTCACATTACCATAGTTTTTGTCTTCCAACTTTTCTGAAAAGGGAAGTCATAATCCCTGAAACTGTGATTTCTCAATTTGGAGTACTCTTCGTTTCAACAAATCTGGGACCCTTTTGATGTCATTTGTGGAGGCAGTTATTTTTTGCTGCAAAAGTATATGCTAGAATAATGGATAGATAAAACCAAGATTCCCAACTGAAGTCACTATACCACTGAAATTGTGATCTGGGAATGAGTTTCAAGATGGATACGATTGCAATGCATAGATATACTATTCATCTATTTCACGATTCTTGGTCTGTGATCATATGGAGGACGCTTGACTCTACCTTTCTTTTGCGGCTGATTGCGTTCAGATTCGGAGACCGTTAAGATGTGGGAGGACGAGCCAAAGTGTATAAAAGATCACAACCGTCGGTTGCTGGCAGAGAAATTTGAGCTGAAGAGAAACCTGTACAAGGCCTTCATCAGAGATCCCGAGCTTCCAAGTGAATTGCGTGAGAAACTCACTGCCAAACTGTCCAAGTTGCCGAGAAACAGCTCCTTCACACGAATCAGAAATCGGTGTGTCTTCTCCGGTCGCCCTCGCGGTGTTTACGAGTTCTTCAGAATGTCTCGTATTGTCTTCCGCACACTGGCAAATCAAGGAATGTTGAATGGTGTGAAAAAGGCTTCTTGGTGAGCTGGTCGAGGCCGCGGATGGAGTGTACACTGCAAGTCCCCCTAGTAAAACTTTCAGCACTTTGTATCGTCAGATGTTGGTGGTTTTAGCTTGAACAAATTTTGACACCTCCGCTGGAATAAGTTTTGTTCGACTGGGTTTTTGTAATGCTGAAACAGATTCTATTGTTTTTAAAATTGGCAAAACGAACCTGGATTAAGCTCTCACTGTCTAAATTTCTTTATCCAGCTACCAACTACTACTGCCTTCTTAGACTTGGATCGCAACATCTCAGGTCATCACCATACTAAGACCCTCTCCCAACTCTACCAGCTCTTCTGCTTCACGGGCGAAAAACAGGGCCATCTCTCCCCCGATCCGAAAACCAAGTCGTCGTCTCTTTTGATTTCGTGGACACCGGCTGTCTCCGGGTTGCCGCCAGGTTGCGAGGGTTCGCGTCACCGCCGAGCGGAGAGATCATAGTCTCTTCTCTGACTTAGACAATGGCGGTGGACAATGGCTCCGTCTCCATCGGTTTCATTGGTGGTTTGATCTTCCGCATTTCTCAGAGGATGGAGAATGAAGAGTGAAGTGAAGAGTGTTGAGCAAGTTTTACAGGTAAACCCACTCTCCACGTTTTCATTTTTTATGGATTGAACCAGTTGAATACCTGAAATCTGAATTGACGAAGTGATAATTAAAAAATAATATAATCTGTTAAAAAAAAAAATCTTTCTTTTTCCTTTTTGTTTCCCCGAATCCTGCTTTTGTTGCTACTTCTCGGCGCTGATACTGCTGCGTCATCGGTCCGCAAGAAGCATCCAAAATCGGAAAATCTGCACGTTCATGCAGTACGGACTACACCCGGAAACAGAAAACCTCCAAAATTTCATCTCATTTCCTCTTTGCTCAAGGAAACGAATTCTCGTTCATTTCTTCCTTCCCGGGAGTAGCGAAACCGATCCTCCAAATTTGTGAAACGAAGAAAGCTTTTGCTTGACCGGTCTTCTTACAGTAATGGAGGATGAAATTTCACTCCAGGAGGAGGACGCCTTTATTGAGAGCAGAGAAGCTGTAATGGTGTCGCCTGTTGGCAACTCCATTCCAACTTCAAGATTGAGCCATTTCCTGAAACCCAGAAATCTCTCCACTGAAGGGCAGGTTCTTCTCAAGCACCCATTACTCTTCCCTTCCTCTGCGCCACTGTTCTGCCACGGCAAGAAGTGGCCGCTGCAAGTGAGCTTCATGGGCTGGCAGAATCCGAACCCTAAGTGGAAATCATGGGTCGACCACTTATCCCCGTCTTGCCAATCCGTGTGGAGGGAAGCTGGTATCTACGAAGCAATCTTGGGTTCCACTTGCAGCTTCCGTAAGGACGACGGCTTGATCATGGCAATGGCTGAGAAATGGTGCCCCGAAACCAACACGTTTATTTTCCCCTGGGGCGAGGCCACGGTGACGCTTGAGGATGTAATGATTCTGGGGGGCCTCCCTGTTTCGGGCCACCCATTTTTCGCATGCGATTGTGATGGTCGAGAATTGAAGCAGATTGAGAAGAAATTGGTGGAGGTTGCAGGTCGAATACAGAGGAGGAGCACTACCGATGAGGAATTCCAGAATGAATGGATGAGAGTGTTTATGTGCAGCGGGATCGAAATCGAGCACGAAGCTTTTCTCTCGCTGTGGCTGGAGAGGTTCGTTCTCAATGATTCCGAGGGTTCTCCCAAAGCTTCAGTTTTCCCTATTGCTGTACATTTAGCCAGGGCGAAACCTGTGGGGCTTGCTTCAGCAGTTCTGGCAAACATTTATAGGGATATGAGCTTGTTGAAAGCAACGATAGTGTTGCTTCACAGATGGAGACATCTGAACCTGATGCCGACGTAATGGCGGTCAACCTTTGGTCTTCACTTCATTTGGTCCAGCTGTGGGCTTGGGAGAGATTTCCTAAGCTCCGCCCAACACCCAATCCCATCCAAAAAGATGAACCCAGGTCATTTATGTGGGACAATTTGAGAAGCAGGAGAGTTAGGGATTTGAGGTTGGCTTTGGACTCAGCAGGGGATACTTTCAGCTGGAGGCCTTATGCTGTTTCACTCAATGGTTGGCAGTTTCCAGATTTCTACAGGGGAAATGGAGAATGGCTGGACATGGAGTCTAATGAGAGCTTGCTGCCCTACTCTTTATGTCTGAGGGTATCTGAGCTGGTGGGTCAAGGTTGTGTGGAGCAGTATTTGCCACATCGTGTTGCCATGCAGTTTGGGATGGATCAAGACCTTCCTCACAATGTTGATCCATCAAATGAGTGCCCTGAAATGGTTTGGCTAAATTATATTATGCCGTTTGGTAATGCTAAAGTTTACGTTCCACCTAGGTTATTTGAGCCTGATGTTACTGTTGGGTACTTGAACTGGTGGAGAGAGCCGATGTTGTCATCGGAAGGCTTGCTTAAGGATGCGCCAATTGCAAATGGTCTTGCACGACGAAGAAGAACTCCAAGTAAGAGAAGAAAGCTTGCTCATTTATATTCATCAGGTGATCTGGAAGCTAATGTTACTCCACAGGTAGCACAAGGTGTACTTTTTCCTTCTGGTCTTCTTACCATGTCACGAGAAGTAAAAGTTGAAAAAGTTGTTGATGATGATTATCTTTTATCATCTGCTAAAGAAAGCCAGATAGTCCTACGTAAACTTGTGGAAGTGAAAGCAGAAACTAACTATGATGACTTCGAGAATCATTCACTTGGTGTTTCACGTGCAAAAGAAAGCCTTACTTCACATAGAGAGGAGGAGTTGCTGGCTACACCAGTAAAACATGATCCTGCCATGGCTTCTTCTGTAGAAAGAGCAAGTTCTTCTGAAGATTCAATGGAGACCAAGCCTGTGATTCCAGCTGATCATTTGAGGCACCTAGAGAAGATTGGAGGAGATATATGTGGGGATAAATCGAGGAGCATAACAGAACTAGCAGTATTTGACCGGCTTGCAGAACTTGAGAGAGCTCTTGCTGAGTTGAAAGCAACACAATGCATCGTCAAGGTTGAAAGAGACTAGAGGATTAATAGTAATTCTACTGTAGTTTGTGGAGTATATGAGAGTGCCTGCTCGCTTTCTAGCTTTTTGGTTCCCCTTTCAGGATACTTGATACTGGGGGTACTTTATTTTTTGTTTTTGCACTGACATAGTTGGAATGAATATGAGATGTGTTATTAGCTTTTCCTCTCTTCAGATCTTATCTATTTCTCCTATCCACTTGCTCTACTTTGATTGATGTTCATACTTTCAATTGGAAAGTCAAATCATGTTGCTTCACAGAATCTACATCTTTGAATTAGTGATTAAGTTTCTGTTATGGTTACACACATGATGGTGGCGTAGGCTTTTTGTTGTTGTTGTTGTTGTTTGCTTATGAGGGCACTGCAGCTTCATGTTAGCTACGAACTAGAAGAAGGTAAGGTATGTCTTCCAGATTGTCCAAGTTCTCTGATTACATGACCAATTTACCATGTTTCAGTCTCTACTATGAACAATATAAATCAGGTTGAATTCTAACTTATGTAAGATTTACAGTAACTCTAACTAGTGGGGTTTCCTTAGTATCGGGCTTCATGATTCCAGTCTTGGTGGGTTTCCTTCGAATTAGTAGTGACTGCCGGCATTCATCAGGCTAGCAGATAGAAGAAGGAATATGCTCTTGAGACGATCACAGGTTTGCGGCAATGCCGATGTTTCTTCTGCTTTCAGAAATAGCTGACATAAATATCATCAGTGACAGCTTTCATTCGCAGGACTTTGACATGTCCGACCGTTGGGGAATGGCTATAGATTAAAACAAGACAAGAACACGCCAGACAACTCATCCGAGGGGAGGCCATCCTCGTGGCACAGTGACAGCCAGGAAAAATGACAAAAAATTGGGTTTTCAGATGGTTATGGCTTCAGGATTCTACTGATTGCGCCACGCCAGGTAAGAGAAGGAAAGAAGAAAAAGAAAAGATGTCACCTTTTCTTAATCAATGATAAACCCAACAGCATCGCTTCATTAGCCTCCATCTCTGTCTGTTTAGCTTAACAAGAATGAGAATCCTTTTTGTTTTTTGGTTTTCTGGTAGGATAGATACAGTTTATTTATATATTTTTTTAAATAATGAAAAGTGTAAAAGGGTGAAGACTGTCTGTTTTGCTATAATTAGCAAATTGACCAAGTCATTTCTCGCCTTCTTGTTACCTTTGTTCTATGTTGGTTCTACAGGATAATGAAATATGATATGGGGATGAGTTAATTGTGTTTTCTGAGAAACCGGGAGCAGAAAATTTTGGTTCCTCCAAAGGGGCCAAGGTGATCGGCACTAGCTTAGCAGATCATTTTCCCCACCCCCTTCGCATCTCTTTCAGGAACTGGCCATTTCTTTTGCCAAATCTCCAGTTTCTGAATGCCTGCAGGCGGCCAACGCTTCATGCCTCTGATCCAGGGTACCGAGGCTGGCCACCTGGTCACCCTTCTTTGAGATTTACAAATTTTTATATCTGCACAGCAACACTTTTGAAGCTCATAACTTTATCTTGGGATGTTGAAGATCAAAGCAAAAAAGGTTGTCAAGATGAGTTGCTTTTCGTGTTGTTCAGGAGAGAAACTAAGCAGAAAGTCATTGAAGAAGAGTATTAAGAATTACAAGGACACAAAAACCTTAGCATCATTTGCCAACCTCTCCTTCAAAAGTGGTATGTTTTCATGTCATTTCTATATTCTCTTTCCTCAGGACAGGTTTTCATGAAACCTTAGGATGATATGATGAAAATGGCTCTGGTTCTTCCTCATGCAACCCTTGTGTTACAGAAGTCAGACAGACAGGAAGATTTAGAGGAATGTCTGCCCAAATTCTGCAAATTTTTGTTTTCTTCAAATTAAGATTCTTGGGCTTACGGTTTTTAACATATGGTAATTGAACTTCTGCTTCTATTTCTTATGATGGGACCGCCAACTATGCTGGCAAATCTGAACCTTCCATGATAAGCTTGAGTGTTCCTTGACCTGATTGAACATGTTTTTAGCATTAACCCCTGTAGTTTTCACTTCTCAGATAGCAGCAGGAGAAGGTACATAACAGAAGAAATAAAGAAAATTGGAAAAGGAAATATATCTGCAAAGATATTCTCATTCCGGGAATTGACGGTAGCAACTCAAAACTTCACCCTGGAAAATCTGATCGGAGAAGGAGGGTTTGGGAGGGTGTACAAGGGCCAACTTGAAGATAAGGTAGTAGTACTTCCACCATCATTCTTTGTTTCAGGAGTCCTTCAATGGCCACCACTTCTCTGAGCAGCAAAAGTATTATTGTTTCTGATAAATGCTCCATGTTCCATTTGATTCAGGATGTTGCTGTTAAGCAACTTGACAGAAATGGGTTTCAAGGGAACAGGGAATTCCTGGTGGAGGTTTTAATGTTGAGCCTTCTTCACCATTCTAACCTTGTGAACTTAGTTGGATATTGTGCTGATGGTGATCAAAGAATCCTGGTCTATGAGTATTTGGCCAATGGCTCCCTGGAAGATCACCTTCTTGGTATGCTTGCTTGAAGAAACTAATCAGAGATTAAAAAAAAAAAAAACAATTTGTTCTTGTCTGTCTACCTTCAGATGAATAACGACACTTACATATACTTGCCTTCTTTACAGATTTACCAGAGGGAAAAGCTCCTTTGGATTGGAATACCAGGATGAAAGTTGCAGCTGGTGCAGCAAAAGGGCTAGAGTACCTGCACGAAACAGCAGATCCTCCGGTGATATACCGTGACTTCAAAGCATCAAACATATTATTAGATGCTGAGTTCAATCCAAAGCTGTCAGACTTCGGGCTCGCCAAGCTCGGTCCAACTGGGGATAAAACTCATGTCTCAACCAGAGTGATGGGAACTTATGGCTATTGCGCGCCTGAATATGCGTTGACAGGACAACTCACATCAAAATCTGACGTTTACAGCTTTGGAGTTGTGTTCTTGGAGATCATCACAGGGAGGAGGGTGATTGACAATTCAAGACCCACTGAAGAGCAGAATCTTGTGACTTGGGTATGTATATGTGTGCAGAATCTATGACTGTTCCACTGTTCCCTCAAAAGGAACCAACATTTCCTCCTCTATGTTCTCCATGCCCTACAAAGCGAGTCTCAACTTTCTTTCCTGCAGGCATCGCCATTGCTCAAAGACCGGAAAAAATTTGATTTATTGGCAGACCCATTGCTGGAAGGGAATTACCCACAAAAGGGTCTTCATCAGGCACTTGCTGTAGCAGCAATGTGTCTCCAGGAGGAAGCTGCAACCAGGCCATTGATGAGTGATGTAGTGACAGCTCTCGAGTATCTAGCCACGAACAAAGATGTGGGTCAAGGAGGTATATTAGACGAACCTGAAGAGGGCGAAGAAGATCATATTGAAGCTGATAGCTAGGCTAAAAGTAATTGGATTAAAACTGGTAGATTCTAATGGTGAAGCACCAGAAGAAAACTGAGTTTTTTTCTCAGGGGCCAAAGATTAAAAGGAAAAATGGGGAATGCTTGTTTGGTTTGTTTTGGTCATGTTGGCCCCCTATAGGCTGGTCAAAGAAAGTACAAAAACAAAGCTTCATATGTACCAAAAGATAAGTTGTTGGCTGAAGAAATTAGCTGAGGAGCTATTGGTACTATGTGTAGGATTTGTAGCAAAGCAGTAACTGGAGAATTTTCCCTTTATGGAAGCGCTCCAGAGTCTCTGGAGAATCCCTTGATCTTTAGCAACCTTGCTCGCATGTTTTTTCACATAACATTACAAGGGAATGTTTGCCTACCAATCTACGCAATAAATAAAAGCCAAATGAGAAAATTTGAAACCCCATTTCTAATTTCCTGCAACCAGAGTGAAAGTAGGAAGGACATTTTGGTCTTCACAATTACTTTTTTTAACCAGAGTGAAAGTAGGAATGACATTTTGGTCTTCACAATTACTTTTTTTTTATTCATTAAAAAGAGTCTATGGAGAATCCCTTGATCTTTAGCAACCTTGCTCGCATGTTTTTCACAAAACATTACACGGGCATGTTTGCCTACCAATCTACGCAATAAATAAAAGCCATCTACGCAATAAATAAAAGCCAAATAAGAAAACTTGAAACCCCATTTCAAATTTCCTGCAACCAGAGTGAAAGTAGGAAGGACATTTTGGTCTTCACAATTACTTTTTTTTTATTCATTAAAAAGACACTTACTAGGATTCGAATCATGACCACTTTAAAGAAAAGCAAAGATCATAATCAATCACACTAAGTACATTTATTGTATCTTTTCAAATTAAAAACATAAAATCTCAGAGAGGAAAAAACTCTTCCCTCATTTCAAATTCCCTGCTCCAGGATCGTTTGTAGGAAAGGTAGAATCGGGAGTGTCAATTTTTTTCTTTTTACTTTGTGGAACGGGCCAACTTACTGTACACATGCAGATTTAAACGGGTCCAGGAGTGTCAATTTTTTTTAAGTCTTTTTATTTCTCCGTGGTGGTAAAATATATATGAAAAGGCAAAAACAATACTCCTTTTTATTGCTAAAAAGAAAAAAATTTAACAGTAAACTAATGCATGGATTCTAATGGGCTAACCGCTAATCATAAAATAAAATATTTGTTTTTTTTTACAATAGTAAAATAAAAGAGTTGAATGGGCCTCACCTACACGGGATTTGCCCATCAAGTAAAACAAATGAACATCATGGGTTTGCCATTCTAAAACAAGCTATTTTCTCTAGCATAATATATATTTTATATCTTTGTGGCTAAAATATAATGTATTTTAAAGTTATTCAATGGTTCAACCTCGACCAACCCAATTAGTCCAATTTTTATCATTTCAAATATATATTATGTAATTATTTGATATCATAATGATTAAATTATAGTGTATATTATAGGGAATTGTTTGGTATTTGTTAGTAAAAAACTAAACAGAAATATCTATTTTGTTATTTTTAACATTAAAACGATCCTAAATATTTTCTGTTTCCTTTCGAAATTCTATAGTTTTATTCCCGATTCAATGATGTGCAAATGACGAATTGCAGTCATCTCTTTTCTTTCATTATTTTTTATTTTCAAATAGAAAGTCTAAAAGTAAAGAATAATTAGAGTTTGGCATGGGTCGGTCAAACATGCTGAATTTCAAGTTTTGACCCGTTTTGATCAATTCTGATTTATAATCACATGACTCCCTGATACCCGATAAAAATCTCAATCCAAACCAGTTTGGCAGGTGAGTCCGTGTTTACCACCATTTTCTAGGGATACAGGAACGGGGGTTCCTATCCTAAATCGTGTTGTTCTTTCTTGATTTCTTTAGATTTTATCATGGCTTTACAAAAAACCAGAAAGCACAATGATGACAAGATGAAAGTTTTATAAAGCAAATTATCGACCAATGGGTCGAGTAAAAGCTAGCAACGATTGTGAGATGCTCATTTCCCGAAAACCGGCGGGATAGGCAATTTTTTATTCGATTTTCTGGAATTCGGTTTCTATAAAACTTACTCCACCTCATCATATTACCAGAAACAATATTGTTTCACAAGATAACAGGTCCTTGATTTTGGTTCATAAGGTTGATTTTTGATTCGTTGCATCAGTTATGTCTCTTTCCTACTAAAATTCACTATTTTTATCACGTGTTTTAAAAAAAAAAAACTATACAATAAGCTATACACCCCATTACATTATCAAATTTCATAACTCACCTTTTCCAGGTCAAATGGCCGGGTCCACGCTAGTTAGGAAACATATAGTCCAGGAAAGGTTTTCTTTTTGTAAGAAATCCTGCGACGAGGGAATGGATCAGGTCAATAACCTTATGGTGAGTAACCATGAGTAACCCGTCCACATCAGCATGACATCAACATCCTCTCTCTCTCTCTCCTCGAAAGCCTTTAAATTTCCTCTCCTTAATCTTTGACGGACGATTTCTCACTCGTTTTAAGTCAACATTTAATTTTGTTTGCACATTAGATCAGATTAATTGTGCTCTTCAAAATGATATCCACTTTGATATATTTTTCGAACAAAAAAAATTGAGCCATTTTTTACCAGTCTATACCATATGGTATTGACTGGTATTGAAATAAGAGCATACCTATGGTTTGAAAAGCGTACCATGGTGGTATGACATAAACCAAAACGTAGGATGGTTGAATACATGATAGTAGAGTATACTAATTGTCATTTACAATTTTTAACATTGTATACCATAAGATACCACCCCGTACCAGGGTGGTATTGTGTGGTATTTTTTGGTCTTGTAATTTGTTCACCCAGAAATTTGTAGATCCAATAGATCATGATGAACTTGTCCCTGTTGTGCAAACGTTTTCAAAAACGAAAAAGATACTATATGGTATGCAGTTGGTACCGAGAGGCCATAATTTTTTTCTCAAAAAATATTGAAAATTGATCTCATTTTGTAGAGCACGATAAACTCGTTCCATCTGTGCAAAAAAAAAAGAAAAATTAAAATCCAAATTAAAAAGAAAAAGATATGAGTCAATTAAGAAAGTTAGGGAAAATAAAAATGGTCTTTAATTCTCCATCCTTAGATTTGAATTTTCTAAATGAAGGATCCTGATTTGGTTATGCACTCTATCTTGAGACCTGAACCTACAAGACCCTATAATATATCACCTTATTATTTCCTTATTCTTTTATTATTATTATTATTATTATTATTATTATTATTATTATTATTATGTAAAACATGAAACGTTATGGGCCAAGATCAGGTGACTAAGGGGGGTCCCCTTAGTCACTTGGCTAAGTCAATCTCAGCCATTACACATCATTAAAATTCAATGGCTACAATTGATCCAATTTAATGAAGGACATTATAGTAATTACATTATTAATTAAAACAATAAAAAAAGCGGCTGCCTACCTCCCTTCCCGCAGTCCTCGCCGGCGAAACTGCCCGTACGTAGGGATGGCAATCAAACCCATGCCCACGGGTATCCGACCGCCCCCGACCCAGTCAACGCGGGGAATCCCCGCATTGACCGGGTATGGGGCGGGTATGGGTAAAACCCGCAAAAAGTTTGATGGGTATGGGGCGGGTATGGTTTTAGCCTCCCCCGCCCCATACCCATACCCATACCCGCCCCACCAAAAATATTTCTTCACATATGAAAAATATGTGAATCGATTTGTAACCTATCAATAATAGTGAGTATAACTCAATAAAAATATATAGTAGAAATGCAATTAAGTGGCCACCCAAATCAAAATCTAATTTATTTGTCTCAATTTTCCCTTCACTCTTTCACTTTTTTCCCTTGTTAACAAGATTATGTTAGTTAATTATTACTTAATAGATGTATCACAGTAGAGAATAATTATTTGAATGCCATTGTACTCTACTCTGATATGAATTAATGGACGCTTTAGGATAATATGCTTTGAATCGTATTAAAAATGATTGTCTCTTTGTAAACTTCATGATATAGTAGGTGAGTTTAGTGTTATAATTGGTGAGTTTAGTGTTATAATTGAAAGTCTACATGTAAAATATTTCGTATTATAATGTTGGATGTATGGGGCGGGTATTACCCATGGGTACCCGAAACCCATGGGTATGGGGATGGGTTTGCAAAAACTTCCCCCGCATGGGTATGGGGCGGGTATGGGTATAGATATTTGAAAGCGGGGATGGGGATGGTTTAGGCAAACCCGCCCCAAACCCGCCCCATTGCCATCCCTACGGCCGTACGGTGACTGCCGGTCCCGCCGCCGTTTTCCTTGCGCCAGTCCGCATTGCGACGCCTGGAACACCATTCGCCGCTACCCAGGGAGAGGGATGGGATTTTTAACCATTGATTTGTGCTTTGTGCGGCTACAGTTTTAAGAGAGAGAGAGAGAGAGAGAGAGAGAGAGATATTTTGTACTGTTAGTATGCTTTGTATTGTTTGTCGGTTTATTTTTTAATGTTTGTACGCTTTGCTATTTTGTAATGTTTGTCGGTTTTTTTTGTAATGTTTGTACGCTTTGTTATTTTGTAATGTTTGTCGGTTTTTTTGTAATGTTTGTAAACTTTGTTATTTTTGTGTATCGTGTTTATCATTTTTGTCAACCATGTTTGTAATGTTTTTTTATGTCTAAAAAACACCCGGGTTGACTTTGGGAAGGAGCCCCTCTATATAGGGATGGAGCCTCCAAAGTCAACCCGGGTGTTTTTTCAGTTCGTATGGATTGTCGGTATAGTTTGTCATTTTTGTCCACCATGTTCGTACTGTTTGTATGTCTAAAAAACACCCGGGTTGACTTTGGGAAGGAGCCCCTCTATATAGGGATGGAGCCTCCAAAGTCAACCCGGGTGTTTTTTCAGTTCGTATGGATTGTCGGTATAGTTTGTCATTTTTGTCCACCATGTTCGTACTGTTTGTATGTCTAAAAAACACTTGGGTTGACTTTGGGAAGGAGCCCCTCTATATAGGGATGGAGCCTCCAAAGTCAACCCGGGTGTTTTTTCAGTTCGTATGGATTGTCGGTATAGTTTGTCATTTTTGTCCACCATGTTCGTACTGTTTGTATGTCTAAAAAACACCCGGGTTGACTTTGGGAAGGAGCCCCTTTATATAGGGATGGAGCCTCCAAAGTCAACCCGGGTGTTTTTTCTTTTTGTATGGTTTGTATTGTTTGTCGGTCTAGTTTGTATAGTTCATACGTTGGTAATGTTTGTAAATCTGTTTGTATGTTTTGTCGCTCTAGTTTGTACTGTTCGTATGTTTGTATGAGTTGTACTGATTCTAAGTCTGGTTTGTATACTTCGTAATTTTCCATAATACCCAAACTATCCCTGTCATTAATTAAATAGCCCTTTCCACTTTTTAACCATCAGATTGATGTGTCTAGATCTAAGGGCTGGGAGGGGCTTAGTCACCAGATCCGCTCTTGTCAGCTTATTGCTACTGTTTTACTTTTTGTCGCTTTGTGAAAAGGGGTTTTAGTTATTCGCGCCGCAGACAGCTCCCCACGGCGGAGTAGTTGCCGTCTCCCGTACTGCCGCGGCTTCGCGATGGAATCAGCAGCCCGTTGCCGCCTGCCGTCAATCGAATCAGCGGCATGGTTGAGTACCCTCTCATCATCGCTTGACCCCCACTCCCAGAAATCCCCTTCCGCACGCGTCTCCTGCCATCCCATCACTCTAGTCTCTAGGTGCTTTGTGGAGTTGATGATTCTTTGCGGCTGCTTCCATACGCCAACCCCCATGTTTTCGGCTGTCCTTGTCTTGTTCCTCTGTATTAGGATAGCCGAACGACTCTCCTCTGTCTTCCCGAATTCCAGTCCTGCTTCTTCGATCAATTTTCATTCCACTTCCACCTTACCTATTTTGCTGCCTCTGTCCTTCACGACCGACGACGTGTGTCAGTTAACGATTGCTCCACCATACCATATTCGTTCTACTTCTACAGTGCTTTACTCCCTCCGCCAGTTGCCTGCAATTGTACTTGATGGGAGACAAATGGTTTCTCCCTCCATAATTCCTTTCTTCTCTCTTGCAACGCATACCCTCAAATTTCACCCGCTACTGGCTGGCCGTGGAACCCAAAAGAGGAGGCAGCCGGGCAAATTGGAATAGGAGGCAACGTTAAAAGCACACGAGTTCACAGTTTCTGGGTTTACTTCACAGACGAACCTCTTCCCTTCCCACTAGGGATGGCAAAAATATCCGTAACCGTGGATATCCACCCGAATCCGACCTAATCGGGTAGGGTAAAACCCGAACCCGAAGCATTTTTCGTGGGTACGGGTAAAACCCGAACCCGAATATTGCGGATAATGGGTGGGCATGGTTATCTCACTATCCAACCCGAACCCGCCCGATTATACACATGCATATGTATTTGTCTAGAAATAATCATTATGTTTCTCTAGAATATTTTATATTTAGCATATAAATATAATATTTTCATGAAATTATGTTGTTTTAATTAATTTTCGTCATTCTAGTGAATTATTGTCGTACTTTTCATCTTACGTAAAGTGAGTATACGTGTGAATGTTAACATATTGGTTGTAATTATAAGGAGAAATTATTACCCATGGATAACCGTGGATACCCGAAACCCGAATGGGTATGGGCATGGTTTTTATTTTCTACCCGTTTCTCGTGTGGGTACGGGTATGGGTAAAACCCGAACTACATTGGGCAGGGTAACGGATATGCACTATCCGCCCCCGACCCATTGCCATCCCTACTTCCCACTGGCCACAGCAGCAGGACCAAGCCCCCGTACCGAGACCGCTATCCAGGCTACAATCAAACTCAGCCTTTTCGTTATTGCTACTGTTTAAATTAACACAACGTGTAGTGCAGCCTATTTTATGGTTTGCAATGTTTGTTAGGATATTACGTGTCTATTATAAAGAGTATCAAATCAACGCCATATGTTGACAAGAACATAGAAAGGGGTTCTGGAGAGTTTCGTGACAAGATACCCTCATTCCCCTCACCTAGGCTAGGCTAGTAGTTGAATTTCATAGGAAGTTGTTTCTTCGTGTATTCCATTATTATACTTCCATATATTATATGGTGCTTCAGGTTGATCAATCTTAGTACTGATTATTTAGCCTTTTCTTCAGCTGTATAGTCTTCCAGATAGTAGTAATGAGCTTATAAATATTGGCCCTTTTGTGTAGATCAGTTAAGCTCCAGCAATGGCAGGATGGAGCAGCACATCAGAAGCCGTGAAAGTCACAAACAAAGTGAAATGATAAGTGTCTTAGATGGTCCCACAGACCTCAAACAGTGTTAATCTCTAGACTCTAATTGGTAGGTATTAGGTAACCCTTCTTTTGATCACATGCACCTTGCATAGTCATCTAATTTAGTCTGATTACTGTATTCCTTCCAAAATACTATTTATCCTTCTTTCTTGGAATGGACTGTCTATTACAGGGATTGAGGGAGCTTGGTGAATGGCGAAACAGTAGCCATGTCATTGCCTCATGTGAATGAATGAAGACTCCCCATGCGTAGACTAATGCATGTCTAGTCTAGTCTAGGTATATATGAACATTTTTCTTTGGATTCAACCTTAAAGCATATATCATTTTGTGATACCTTTCTAACCAAGTTGCCCTATAATTTTCTGTCATTCTTGCTCTACAGGGAGTATTTGTCAATGAACTTAGATGTTTGCGCAAGCTTGCCATTGATTACTTTCTAGGACTAGACTGCAATCTGCTTGCCTCTGTTCTCATTTGTTCCAAAAGAAAATTTATATACATTTTTAGATTCTCACTTTCCTCAAATCTGCTTGCTCTTTCTATGTTAGACTGAAATCTGCGCGCTCTATTTCTCTTACTGATTCACTTTCCTGTACCAGCTCGGCAACCCAATCCTGTTATATTGACCAGGCCACAGTCGACACCACCTCCAATATTTGAATAATCCTTTCCGAACCGATATTTTGCATCATTTTAGCACGATTGTCAATGAGAATTAGGTCCGTGAAGCCGTGGTTCAAAACTTGTTGTTGTGTACTTGACCTCTTGGTCTTTGTCATTATATATATACAGCTGAAGATCCTTTTGCCTTGTTCCAGATCCTTTAGTTGGTGTTTTTTTATCCATTTTTCGATTGTGTGTTTGTTTTCGTTATGACAAGGCTCCTTTCCTTACAAGGCAAAAGCATGTAAGAGGGAATGTGAATATGAGTAGACCATAGAGGTTTACGACAGGAAACATGTACCAGATAATCCTTCTTCCCGTTTTAGATTCCTATTTATATGAGAAGTTCTGCCTGGTAAAATCGATGCAGTTGTTGTCTTGTGCTATAATCTTTCTACTATGATCATATTTCCCCCAGTTGTTTTGTGGTTCTTTTCGGTTGTCTGTATATAAGATTTGTCTGTTTTTCATGGACAACAGTACGCTCAAGAGATGAGCGGGACAGTCGGTGTTTACTTACCTTTCCTTGCATTCAGCTCTAAACTTCTTTCTTTCTGTCATTGTTTCTACTTGAGATAGAACTCACAGATTATAATCAGCCATAGCCTCCTATTCAATTACCTGATCACTCGCTTGGTAAGCTCTTAGCATTTTCCATCAGCAGCCCTGTTGTGGGACTCCCACCTAACACTTTTAAACCTTGTTTGCTTTGAGTGTTGCCAGTTACATGGAAGGGTATTTGATCGGCAGTTACATTAAAGGCGTTCTGGTGACAAGGTGACTTAAGATGGATCTCAGTAACATTTCTTTTCTGTTGGGTCTGCTTATCATAATGGAACTTCGTAATAGGGACCGTTCACATTATCATTTGTTCTTCAACTATGCTTCCTAAAATAGTTTATGCAGACTTGCTGAACTAGGAGAGGTCTCTTTTCACACTTGCAGACCAGCTCAAACTTACGCCCAAACAAGTTTGGTTATTGTAGCTTTTTGAGATCTTCCTTCAATTAGTAGAGAATGTTTAAATCTTTCTTAGTGAATAAGCAGATGATCGATGAAGCTTTTACATGTTCGGTTACATGGGAAGCAACATACTTTTTATGAAGAGCAGTAATTCATTGTCTCCCTCAATATTTTTTCAATTACTACAATTTCTAAGTGTACGGATTGATTATTGCTTCTTTTATTTTCTAATGAAGATTGCCCAAATTTTTACCAAAATAACGTGAGTATGCATAATAAAATATCTTAACTTATAAAAAAAACGCATGTACCTGCTATATGTATAGTATTTTCTAACAATTTTCACTATAACTATAAGGCTTTTAATTATACTAAACAATATGAAATTTCATGCGGCGTAGCCACGGGTATTGATACTAGTCTTTATAAAAAAATCTTGCGAGAACTCCTTGATTTTGCATCTACAAGAGTGAGCCCAATAGCTAATCGGCCTTCTAAGGATCATTGACATCAATGCAGTCAAAAGCGCGATTCTACCTAGAAACGGAAAAGGGGTAAAATCGTAAAGCGTAGAATCAAAGCGTAAAAGCGTAAGCTTTTTACGCATACTGAAAAGTAACTAAAAATCTATTAAGTAGGACATATGCTATGCAAAATATGAATACACAGAATTTAGATAAGTTAATAAATACATGCGATTCATGTTTAAAGTAGAGCAACTTATAGCATCTTAATAATAAGTTCGTAAACATAAATTTTAACGATAAACCACTTTTCCCTCTATGCTAATGAATTTGGGAAACCCTAGCTGGTGAATTAGATTACTCTATTGAAGTTGAGAATGCACCCAAGTACCTAGTATGTATCTTTTAATCTCAAATGTATCATATTGTTAGTGATTTACTTTAAAAATATACTTTTTATAATTAATTTCATGAAAAGAATACTCATTTAGTGAACTAAAAGCGTAAAAACGTAAAGCGTTTTGGTGAACTAAAACCGTGAAATCGTAAGTTTTTAAGATTTAAAGCGCAATTTAGTCCGATTTTATACACTTAAGTTTTTATATGGAAACGAAAGCGTTTTGGTGACCCAAAAGCGTAAAATCGTAAGTTTTTAGGTTTTAAAGCGCGATTTTGACTGCATTGATTGACATGTCCTTTTACCTTCCCTAATGTGTTTCGAGTCTAGAGTAAAACAACGATTAGAGGTCTGGGCGTTCGTAGGTGAATCTTTGATCTTGAGTCGAGCCATATTTTCGAGTTAGAACCTGAAAGCTGAGCCTCTTTCCTCATTCCGCACGCTTCCATGTTGGCCAACGTGCAACCCATGCAACCTAAAAAGAAAGTGTCCTTTTAATGAGTCAACAATGATTCCCATGATATTATAAAAAATAAAAAAAAAATGATTCCCGTGATATTGAAGTGCGAGACAAATAAACTGAACATTGAAAGAAGATGACCTTTTGAGAATGAACACCGATATGAAACCCCAAGCGAGAGTGAAAACTTTGGATGAGCAAATCTATAAGGGGTTGTGTTCTTATCGAAATTGAAAATTGGAGGTTTGTGCTAAATCCATGAATTTGCAAGTGAACTATCGTTGATGGTATTGAAAATTTTGTTATTTAGTTATCGGACTTGATGTTAGATTTTATTGAATTGAATTTGGGGTTAATTGCATGGTTGGTCACTGAGATTACAAAAAACGTTCATATTTGGTCACTAAAAATATTTAAATTCAATTTTGATCACTCAAATTAGTAAAATAGTTTAAGTTTGGTCACTCTCCGTTACCCTCCGTCAGTTTCCGTTAACACTGTTAGTTATTCGCGGACGTGGCTAATAGAAGTA